TTGCACCTTCCTCTGTGTGGCGCCTTATTTCCTTTAGGCGATCTTTTGTCACTGCCAGGTGCTGTATTGAGTTTACTGTTTCTACTTCTTCCGGAGTATGCCTGGGTACAGGCAAATGAGCTATTGACAGTGTATCCGTGATGAATATCTGTGCACCAGGCATATACACAATATCCACGTCTTACTTTGAAGTCGGATAAGCATAGTTGAAGACGACGAGGAACAACGTGCAGCGGTTTTTCTGGCTATTGACACAAGTGGATTGTGGTCTGTATACAAGGTGGTCTTTCTTCCGAAAGTATAATCGTTGAAACGCTCCATGGCATAGACTACCGCAAGTATCTCCTTCTGTATCTGCGCATAGCGCTGCTCGGTCATAGTGAGTGTTCGGCTGCGGAAATCCAAAGGTTTTCCATTCTGTAAGGGAACAGCACCTATTCCGTCTTGGCTACTGTCACAGTGTACCCCCAAATGCCGCGCTGGGTCGTAATACCCGAGTACAGGCGCGTTGCTGATGAGGTGATTAATAGTTTCAAATGCGGTTTCCTGTTCTTTTCCCCAACTCCAGTTTACCCCTTTGTGAGTTAGATTCCTGATCGGCGTCATGATATCAGCGAGTCCTGGCATAAAACAGATTAAGTGATTCCCCATACCGTTTAGGTGATGGATTCCCTTCACGTCATTAGGAGGCGGCATCTCTCGAATTGCCTTAATTTCTCCTGAATCGACCCTGATCCCTTGTGTTGTTAGCAAATGCCCATGGAAAATCACCTCGTCTTTCTGAAGTTCAATATTTTCACGTTTAAGCTTGATGTTCTTTTGCACATAACGCTGTAAGAAACGGTGGAGATTAGCGTCACGCTCTTCTTTTGTCGGGCCATGGATCAAAACATCGTCTGCCACGCATGTTACACCATCGAAATCGTATACCGCTTGCACTAATCGCCTTTGGAAAATTTCCCTCGACATCTTCAAGCCAAACAGTAAACGCAACCAAAGATAACGCTGGAAGGGCGTTGCAAATATAGTAAGGAAACTAGATTCGTCATCTAAAATTACGTGCCAGAATGCCGAAGAGAGGTCTATCTTCGCGTAACACTTAGCTTTGGCCAAACGCGGCAAAATGTCTTCTAAGGTAGGTAGCGCCTAATGCTCTCTACGTAAGTCCTCATTCAACGGTTTTGGGTCAATACACACACGCAGTGCGCCTATCTTCTTCGTAATGATTGTGACCTGACTAACCCAGTCGGTTGACTCGTCGACTTTGTCAATCACACCCTCTCTCACTGATTTGCACAATTCAGCGCAGAACCTGTCACCCAGTGCAAATGGAACTCTCCTAGCTGGTAGCGCTGTCGTTCGTATCCAAGGATCTAAAGACAAGTGAGCGATTTCCTCAAACCTTCCCAAACCTGGGCTAAACACAGACAGATACTTGTCACTAATATCGGTTTCTCAATGGCAAGCATGCACAAAACGATCCTGATCAAAAACAACAAAACCGAGAGACTGGATCGAATCAATGCCGAGAATCGGCGTGAGTTCCTCCCCCAAGATCACAAACTCTACTCGATGGGAGGCTCCATCTCTTGGGTTAACGACTTCGATTGTAGCTGAGCCCTTCGAAAGAAGTTTGGAACCATTCCACATACACAGGCAATCTGGTTCGTATCGAAAGCACACTCCGAGACAGTGTTTCCTTGGTAGAATGTTGACAGTAGCACATGTGTCTAACTGGAGTCGTATGACTTTGTCTTCAATCAAAAGACTTGTGTAGACGCATTTTTGCGGTACCCTCCGAGACATGTTGTAAATTGAATGTTCTGCATCAGCGGGGACTTGTCACAAACGAGCGCACTTACATTGGTGGGTTGGCAGCAACGAGCAAAGTGGTTCCTTTTTCCACATCTGGCGCATTTCCGTCCCCACGTCAGACACTGTAAGCGGGTGCTCGGATGTCACGTGGCGCAACATTTGCAGATCTCCTGTCTCACGGTAGTAGCCTTCGATGGTTCTCCACCGGAAACGGCACACAATTCTGCATCTGTTGCGAGCTTCATTTGCTGGTATTGATAGGTGGTTGAGGACTCAATGTTGCAGATATCAATGCACTGCTAGAGCGATAAGTTGCGTTGTCGCAAAAGCCGCTTTGTCGTACTTTCATCATTGATTCCTAGAACGATCCGATCGCGTATGAGACTGTCGCCCAAACATTTACAGAAATTACAGGATCGGGCCAAAATCTTCAATTCAGTGATGTACGCGTCGACTGATTCGTTTGGGCCTCTGTTGCGCGAAAAGAAAAGATAGCGCTGGTAGGTCTCGTTGGTTTGCCCGCCACAAAAAATACACTGAACTTTCCAATGACCGTCTCCAAATTATTGGGATCTTCGCCTTTGTCGTAGTGCAATGTCTCTAGAAAAAGCGCGCGTCATCCCCGGCTGCGTGTCGAAACATGGTCAAGCGATATGCCATCGGTTGTTCGTCCAAACGTATTAATATGCAGAAATCCTCACATTTGCTCTTCCATAGACGCCACGTACATGCCAAGTTCCGTTCACCCATGTTCAGTGGGGCACGCATCTGAATAGACGGTGGTGATCCAAACAGCATCCGCGCGCCGCCGGTGGGGTTCGTCTGTCTTCTCTGACACCAAGTTGCAGAACACAGTCCTTGAGGAACTAGCGTTTATTCGGCAAAGAGAACTAGACGAAAATTACAGCATGTTTAGCAAGCCAAACTCCTCCAGATAAATTGCAGGTTCAACGCCATAACTGACTCTTCTGAGTCGATGAGACTCCTCCTTTGCTTCAGTTAAACAAACGGTGAATTACTCACACGAATATCATCCAACCCGAGTCCAGTAACCGAATCCGTCACGTCCGTCTTCCATTGGCTGTTTGGCTAGATCGGTTGGTCCATCTGCTCACTCTGATCTGATACTACCATCATACCTGCAACGTTACTTGCGCTGCACCACTTGGTGGGTGTAGTTTGAAAAACAGGTACAATAGGAGTTGAACGATGCCCTTATGCTACCGCTGCACATGTGCAATGGAAGCAAGCAATGTGCCGACAATTATCGTGGCATCAACTTCTTGAGGTGCGTGGTGAATCGCTCGGATACGGAACAAAGGTCTCATCAACCCATGTCATTGAACCAAACGGAGTTAAAGAGCACTGCGGCTTAAGTTCATGCAACTGCACCATAAATATGGTGCTCGCGGCCCGCTAACTGCAAGAGAAATGCTGTAGACGCAACCAGACGTTGTACTGACTGGAGGGCCATTTGTGAAGTATACGTTGTGTGAATGGATTGTGACACACAATCTAAATGTGGATCGCGATTCCCATTGAAGTGAACCTTGGTCATTCGATCAATAGGGCTGTAGCTGAAGCAGACAGAAATAGGGTGTTGCCCGCCCGGTCCTAGTAATCGAATGAAAAAGGCTCATTTCAATAGGAATTGCGATCCACATTGAGATTGTACGTCACAATCCCACCACACAAAGCATACTACAAAATGGCCTTCCAACCAGTCATTAACCGCTGTGTCAAGGGTTGTCCGTTGTAACCTGGCGGCGGATTAGGGGTAGCAGTCACAACGAACATCCCAGTGGTTCCAGGTTCCATGTCTGTTATCTCTATCTGGTGAGATCAAGTAAGATCGAAGCGCGCCACTGGAGTGCCGTGTTTTCGGACGGGCAACACCCTATTGCTATCAGTTCGTCGGCTTCATTAATACGTGACACGGTTAACCGTGATGAACAGTGGTTGGTCTAAGGTAAATTGGGTTGTCCTGGTAAATATATTCATGGTGGTATGCGAGTGAGAGTGCAACTGTGTGGAAAAACGACTTTGATGTTGTCTCTGATGTGAAGCAGATATTTATGTAACAACCATGATTTCTTTTGCTTGTAACATGTGCGAATATGGTGTCCGTCTGGAGCACCGCGAGAATAGTGGGGAGGCTGAGAATTCATCGTTACAAGTTGAGAACCCAAGTGCATGAGAGAATTATGTTCACGCTAAAGTGGGATTCCAGAAAGGAGGGTAGTATAGTGTGACTGTTGATAGTGGTAATGCATACAAACAGTTAACCTGATAAACAAGTTAAAGGACGAAGAGACTGAAGAGTAAAAGTAAAAAAGACTGAATAGAAGGAGCAGCGAATAGATGATGCTCCCTGTGTGTCGAATAGGGAGAGCTCAATCCAAGTGCCAGCTCGGGAGTATGATAAAATATTTCCGCCGTCGATATGTGTTTATGAGTGCTTTCGATTGTAAGCTTTCCGGTTTCGCTATATATATATATATATATATATATATATATATATATATATATATATACGCCGTCCAAATAGTATTGCGGTTTGACACAGATCTCAATATTAACGTGGAAAAACAGTTAAGTCCAACCGTTTGTGCCTACGTAAAACTTTTATGCTGCAAAACACGCAATTTCGATCAGCCACTGGACACTAGCACAAGAGCGAGTCATTCTGAGAGGAATGCTGACGGAACCATTGTTTATTTAAGCACTTTGATTCACTTATTCGACGACTTAAGTACCAAACAATAGAGTGATAAAATGGACATTTTACAGAAATTCAAAAGATAAAAAGATGATAACAACACGCAGAAGTATGATGAATTTAACGTGAAGGAGGCCACAAAGCTTAGGAGGCATTTACATATTTTGAAAGCAAATGACTGGGATGGAGTTGACAAATGGACTCTAGCAAAACATTTGGAAGTGCAACAATGCCGCCTATCGCTGCGAAACATATGGAACGGAAGACGGCACTTCGTGTACCTAATACCGCGAGCACTACTCATGCTGTCACTGCAAACAGCAGCATAACTAAATTCTAGCTAGGTAAAAAGCGAGTGCAATGACGCAACAAGTGCTCACAAGTGCTAAATACAAAGCGCGTTCAAAACATATTCTTCCAATAATTCAGCGCCAGAATAAACAAGACAATGGAACAGAGTACATACCAATTGATGGGCCTGGCCGGCCTGATTCGCTGCAGCAATACGAGTCAATACCATCATCGGTCCGGACGGAGTGGCAACAGTCTTCAGTTCCGATTGCAACTGGACATTTCCCTGGACCGCATTGGATGTTACAGTTTGTAACTGAGTGGCTTGTTGTTGCTGCTGTTGAGTATGACCTGCTACAATTGGTTGACTTAAATTGGCGTGGGGTATAGCGTTGATAGCGAAGAACTGTTGTTGAGGTTGTTGCGGCAGACCGAGCGTGGACGCGCGGTTGATGTTTGGTCCCATAGATGCCACAGTGGCCCCTCCGGGTAACATGACAGCAGCAGCTGCTGCGGCGGCAGCTGCGGCCTGTTGTTGTTGAGCGAAATGCTGTTGAGCAGCTGCAGCCTGAGTCAAGGTCATTGCGGGAAGCATGAGGCCAGGAGTGGCGCCGGCGGTAAATAACGGATGGGAGTGAGCTATTGCAGACAAACCACACAGAGGAGTGCCGGTCATGTGAGCCACTGTGGACAAAGAGGTGTCCTGTGCGGGAACATCACTCTTAGTGCAAGGATCTGCATTTGGGCTGACAGGTTCCGGTTTAACGGTCTCAGATCCCATCAAACGGCAGTTTGTTTTGAATAGCGTCTGAGATTCCGGATCAGACTGACTTGTGACTACGGTGGAAAATGCGCTACCCGTACTACCAACGGTAAAGGGGGTTGGTCTGGACTTTTTCTTATTCAATCGGATAGGAGCACCACCTAGCAGTAGGAAACGGTAGGATAAAGACATAGAAGTGAGGACAAAAATGTATGAGATTTAGCTAGTGGTATCAGTGAAAGAAGAGGAACAATAAGCGGATTAGTGATGTTTATCACATAAAGGAGTGCGTATAAAATGGACAACAGATGTGAGCATCGTTTGCGGCCGACACTCAACTCACATACCATGCGTCGCCAACCACTGTTTGGGTGCGAATAAGGTGGTAAAGGCGGCGTCCCGAGAATGAGCCTGCCGATGTCACACCTCTGTACTGTAACCGGCTTATGGTTACAAAAGGATAGAAAAGTGATGATCAACCGGCGTGCGTGTGCATGTTCGTGTTTCGTATACACGCAGATACTTCAACGATCTACAGTTAAGCATTGTTACATGAGAGGTAACAACAGCAAGAGGATCGTAGATACCGTGATGCATCGCAAAGAATGCAAAGTCTAAGTTCAATAAACGGAATGATAAAACGTCAATAACCTGGTCAATGTATCGAATAGACGGGTGCTAGTGAGCCGAGAGTAAATGCGAATAAATGAGTAACCTAAACCGCATCCAATAGGTGACTGACAGTCTTTCAGCCCAAAGAGCTTGTATTCATCACAGCCATAGTAAAACTATGGAACTAGCAGAGACAACATTCAATGCACCACCGCAGCGCTTCACTGAAATGCGCCATCAGTTTACAAAGTTGGGCAAGCTCACCCAATTACACAGCGGCATCACGCACGATAAACCATTAGCCACAAGGGTTACCGTGAACTAAGGTCAGAGTCAATATTAAAAGAGTTGAAATACGAAGGTATGTCCTTGCTCTCCAGTACAGGTTTCTAAACAGAAGGCCGCCGGTAATAAAGTAGGGCTTTCGCGAGTTCAGTCAAATCAAGGTAAGCTTTTTGTACCTGGATAAGACCATTGTAAGTATTTTATACCACTGGGTGAGTATGTATTAAAATGACGTCAAACAACAAAGGAGAAAGGTGTAAATGGTCGCACATCACCAATCAAAGACAGCATATTAATGGAGAGAAACGCCGGGATTTGTGTTCGATTTTACAGAGTCATCTGGGATCAACTTGGCATAGAGCACGGTGCTTCCTCATTTAACTAGAAATTTTCATAACAATTTGTTGGTGTGCATATGAATCTGTGGTCAAATTAAACAGATCAAGAATTTGGCGGAGTATCATCTTTTTTCTGAATACTCGAGGGAGTAGAGTAGCATCACTGACCTCGGAAATAACTTAAATATCCAGGGAAAACGACAAATTTACAATAGACAGTGTAAAAAAGATGTTGCAGAGAAAACAGCAACGGTTGAACCCATAGCCTCGCTCTCCTCAATGGTCTCATAGAAGAATAGAGTGTGTGGTCAGACTGAATATAGGAGGAATTCGCGTTCACTAGTCAGCAATTGGTGGCCTAAAGAGAAACGCCATGCATGTGTAGACCAACCAGGTCTTCTGTAGGGTAACAATGTGTATGGTAGTGGAGGATTGTACGTACAATACCAGCGACTTAGTCGCGTAAGCCGAAACCGTCACCCATGGTCCGAGAGGAACAATGGTGGGCTTAGCAACTTAAGGAACATAGTGTGCGTTACTGAGGCACCTCAGTGGGGCGAAACGGCTGTCAAGTGATGAAACCACTCGAAACGCCGGAGCGTCACCAGGCACTGATAAACCAGGGCTGTTCATGATAGAGAGAGCATGGTTGTCGCACAAATACCAACAACACGCCAGGAGTAATTCCAAAGAATGGTCAGATGACACAGCACAGAAAGTTGAGGTGACTTCTCAAAACCTTGAGTGGTATTAATATGCATCATCATCATAAATAAGCAGCCAAGAAAAGAGGCTGAGTGCATGATGCTATTACGAGCATTAATGTGCTACGAGACGCTCCTTTTTTGATCAAATGTTCATACTGTGCGTTCCCTATCAAAGATCTGTAGCCGGATGTGCAGGAATATGAAGTCCTGCAAATAGCAACCACCGAATAGTTCTTTCATGGCTGTTAACAAAATTCTCGTTGGATTTCTATGTGTATCGGAATTATTTCATGGAACCGACTAAATAATTTAGCTTCATTTCCGATTTTGAATTTTTAGACCATATTTACTGGTGTTTTCTCTGTGTAATTTCGAAGATCTTGTTGTTTTTGTGCACTATGCAACTGGTCGTCATCTTGGTCCGGAATCAATCATAGATAGGCAATTTTCTACATGGAAGTTGCTTTGAGATGAGAGCCCGGTAATCCCTGTCCGACGCTAGTGAGGCTCTGTGGTACAGCCTCGTCTATTCATGGTTATCATAAACGATCTAGCGAGGGTAATTGCTCCCGATACCAAGATATCATGATCTCAAGATATGGCTCCAGCACAATCTTGATGCGATTTAGAAATGGTCAGTTCAGAATATCCTGTAGTACAATGTAGGAAATGTGGAGTTGTCCAACTACGCCATAGGCATGACTGCGTGTATGCAGGCTTGAGCCACAAATATTGCAGACCAGTTTCCAGGAACGTGATCTTGGTGTGCTCGTACAGAGCGACCAACTGCTCCAAAAAGTTTGAAGCAGTTGCAAATAAGGTCAACTAGCATGCCAACCTGCTGAGAAGGGAATTCGGAAGATTTGATCCACAACTCTTACGTGCGTTCCCACGTTGAGTAAGCTATGCAATCTCAGCAACATTGGTTGAAGCGCGATATAGTGATGCTAGAAACCACAACGCACAGCAATAAAAAGCCAAGGATTTACGCAATTTCTCTTCTCAGGAAATACTGAACTTACTTGGAGTTTTCAGAGGACGCTACCGACGGCTTCGCGGTGACCACATTTTAGTGCACCAAATACCAAAGGACACCAATCACTACGGCGCTATTTGTTGCGACGCAGCGACAACACTAATCAATGAAGTAAGTGCCAAAAAATGAGTGAACAATACAACCGACTTGAATGTCGACTGAATTACTATTCTCTTCGAGTATGCAAACCTAAGAACTCTCCAAAACACAGTTGTCACCTCCCCAACTTTGGATATCTTCAAAAAAGGATAGGATGTTGCCCATTAGCTCCCATCACCTTGTTACCTCAGCGGTGCTACTGTGGAATAACGCTAGCACGCCCTCATACCGGATTTACGTAGCACAAGGACTCAACGAAGTGGCAGATAAATGAGTGTTCTAATTTTTGTTTTCCTCACACTACGTTAACTACGCCTGATCCCCATGTTGTTTTGTATGTTTACATTCCATTCGCATTATACACTATCGGTATGCAGCAACTCATTTACACAGAAGATTCACATATGTTTTGACTGTGTGGTTTTCCCTTCCAAAGCCTAAGAGATTTGCCAAGCACCTGCTTTCTTATCCGTGATAAATCATTGCCCGCAAGGTCGAAACAAGCACCCTGCGGTGCCTGTTTCAAGAGTACCGAACATGCACTCACACGTGTTATGTGGCACGTGTACGTCCGGTGCGCATGATTTCCCAGTTAGGCAGGATTGCTTCTGTTCTGCTGGTTGAAGGAGTGTGGACCGGCTCTGTTGATGAAACGTGCCCCCCATCCGCATTCCGCCCGGTCTTATTCCTTCGGGTTTACACTGGATATGGGGTATGTGGGTAGAACTGTGGCTGGTGCAGCGCAAGCCACCCGTGGCCCCTCTGTAGGCGCAACGTCCTATGGCTGCCCCTGTGGAGACCAGTGACAGGCAAATGCGGACACGGATGCCGCCAATCCATGTATATCACGTAAGTGTCCACATTTCATGCATCGTAATGTCGATTGAGCATTTTTGACGTCTTCGTAAAGCCCAACAATGAACAATGACCAACATGAATTCGTTCATATTTTGTGTAAAAATTGCCGAAACGAAATATAGGCGGAAAAAGTTGAGAAGTATAAGCCGACGTGTCGGATGAATTTTTCCGTTACGTGCGGCACCGTCTTTGGCCCAACAAGCTAACCAAAAGAGCCTCTAAATTTCAGGCAAGCCTTCGTGCGCTTCACGTGCAAAAAGATGGCACGAAATCCTATCATTGAGGACAGTTCAGTTACACCAGACACGGATTATTTGCCTGTATCCCATTAGCACAGATGTCATTTTGTGTGAAAACTCGTGGAGTGAAGATCCGCTGAAATCAACGTGAGACTCGGGATAAACTGCAAGATTAACCTTGGTCGACCAGTGGCATTTTAATCTCGTGATTTTCTACACGCCTGAGTACAGTGATCAAAGACCCCAGATGCGCAACTACCATGTTGCTGAGTTTTTACAAACTAACTGGTAGACTTATAGGTGTGGGTTAGGACGGGTTGAAAGTGAGGAACATTACTGGTCCATGAGTAGCACCTATGTGAACGAAGGCAGTCAGAGGTTGACAGTGACCCGCCTGAAGAAGCTGAAAAATTTGAGGCTCTATGCCGACCCAGACCTGGATCCGACGTCAGTGAGAGGAAACGATCTAATGGTGGTAAGGAAACAAATTCCCGTATTGTAAATTCTCGAATCATTTCCAAGATTTCACGAAGTAGGAGAAACAGGTTGCTCACACTTCAAGAAAGCTCAGTGATTCCAGCTGCAGTCTGTGTGTAACCCTTACAAACGTTCGCATCCTTATAAACAAGTGCGATGAACTTTGCCGTTTCGTCGCATTGGAGCGGACAGATGCAGTGGGACTGGCAGAGACGTGGGTAAATTCGGCCGAGATTGCCCAAGAAATCGAGGTCAGTGGCTAATCGTCCTTCCGATGTCATAGACTATCGACTGCCCGCGGTGATGTCTTGCTCTACACACCGTCTTCTCTGTGTGGAAGACTCGTGTGTATTTACAGAACCGACGATGGTTAGTGTGAGCAGCTGTGGCGAAAACGTGCCGCACTTTTTTCTATTTTATTTCCTTACATTTATTCTGCACTGCAAATTATTTTCTATACCTTCCTGGAGGTCACACGCAAGTGATACCCTGCGGTTTTCCGTACTCCGC